CTCCCTGTTATTCACGCACACTTAAATCTCGTCAAAGGCCCACTACTACCTGTCACCTGCGTCAACTGACGCTTTGTCGAGGGTCTCATTGGCGTCGAAAGCCCACCCCGGACTGTCTGTTGGCCGCTTTTGTCTCAATAGCTAATGCATACATCGGTTCAGACTTTTTCCCCTTCTAAAAGCAACTATCCTGCGATCAACTCTACCCCATTCCAGTCGCCCTCGGAGAACAGGTGTCCGCCACCACGAGTAGCCAAACTTAATTCGTCATAGATGCGATGCTAGTCGGTTGGAGTGGTGCAGTGGGTTTTCTGATATCCTGCTTAACAGCGCGCCTAGGTGGTATTAATTACTTTCTGTTGTCCCTCCACGACCGGGAAATTGATTGTGGTGTTCACTGATACGGTCTAATGAAAGGAAAGTTATTGAAAAAATAAGCCAAAGACTCGTATGTGCATCCGGGGTACTAGTTTTCAACCGTTGTATACCTCAAATGCAATATTTAATTGCATCCGCAACTGTATTACCTCAGCTGCCGTTGGCCTGTGGTGAGTTGTGCGGGAGAAACGATAAAGTTGATGCTAATACATCAGGTATTTTGTCTACCCTGCACTTGCTCCCAGAAGTAGGAGGAGCAGACATACAGCTTATTAGTTGTTCAGTTTGATCAGCCATCGGGACGCAGCCACAGAACGTGTAAACTAAATTACTACTATTTTTACTTTCTCCTAACAATGACGAAACCACATTTCACATTCAGAGCGCAAGCCTCTCTAGTGTCATGTGCCAAACTGACAGAGCTGTTAAGATGGATTTTACATATTTGCGTCTGCATTCTCGTACCTAAATTTTTCGTTGCTTTCTCTGATGTTTAAAACTCCAGGGCTGTTTTAACGTAACAGCATTATCCAAAGTTGCACTGTTCTCTCCAGCCTCCTATCTTTTGATAAGTATCAAAACTGCCAAAAACATTAAAATCCTTTCCTACACCAGCACTGTGCCAACACTTCATCCTAAATTCAGGAACGCTGTCGCGAACCCTGTTTTCATATAGACAGAAAAAAACGCATCTAAGTGAGTTGTACGGTCCTCTAAACATAATCATTCCTTAACACCCTGGAATTTTGATGAAAACAGGTGTTTAGGGCTATACGTGCGGCCACTTCACCATTCCTATATTCCATCTGCTCTGTGGTCATTTGGTGAGTGACAGTTCGATTAATTCCCTTTTGTTCTGCCTACACGTATCTTTATCAAAGACACCTGAAGACATTTTACTGAAAATTAGTATTAATGCGGTTGCTGGGAGGTGGAACTGCTTGTTTAATCACATCGCGAGAGGTCGTAGTCGTTAACTGAACTAAAACTAATTCTTTTATCTGGTCTTGTCCCTCTGGTGAAGATTTTTTCCTCCAATGGCAAACTAACGGCTTATGTGCATATTCAAGTTGCAAGACTTTTCCCGACTAAGTCAGGCTTTATTGTACAGCAGTCCCTGGTCCCTCCAGTCATCGAGGCTCCATCTAAGGCGTGATTATAAGATCACATTTGACGAGCAATCTGGATTTTTCAGCGACTGTCTTCTCTCTCTCTCTCTCTCTCCGTTCGGAAGTCAGTTCTACTTCTAAATATTGTCCCTTTTTTTTCTTGTTCCGTTAGGTTCACCCGCTATGACTGGCACTGGAACGCCCTGTCAACCACGACTAACGCGTCCTGATACGTTGGAAGCCCAACGGGAGTGGGATCGCCTGTGTATGGACCATCTGCGCAAAAAGGAGGGCGTCGGTATCCCGCCACAGGTACCAACCCTCCAACCACCGTCTATGCCCCAGGACCCTCGCCA